TTTAGTTTATTTCCATTTAAATTAAGATGTTGTTGGGCCTTGGGCCCATTAGTCTTTATTTTTTAAAGAGTTGTAATTACTTAGGTTGAGTTGCCGCCCTACTTAGRGCATCTTTGTAATATCTCATACTTAAGTTAATTATAAATAGAATGAGGGGCTGGCGGCTAGGATTAAGTCAATCTATCCTAGTCAACCTTCTCCTCTTTTCTTCCCTTTCCTTTGTCTTTTGCTGAAATCCCCAACTTTCTACTCTTCCTTTCACAAGAAGCTTGGTCGAAATCAGCACATAAGGTTTTCTACTATTCCAACTACGAACAATGACTTGAATGCCTCTGAAAAAGTGGACGGGGATAGTTTAGTGGCAAGCGAAGAGAAGGAAATAATGGATCTAGTTTTAGAAAATCTAAATACCTTGATTGCTCTTGAGGAAAAAGTAGAGAACCGGTGGAATGTTAGGCTATGGAAAAATCTCAGGGTGGGCAACAACCAGGGAACCAAATTGTTGGAGAAACAACCACCAAATCCTCTCAAAGCAGGGGTAAAAGAACAAAAGAAGGCAAAAAAGAAAATGCCAATTTGAAAGTCTATGTGAGGAAAGAAGGGGGAGGGGTGAAGTAGAAAGATTAACCGGCGGTGTCTCATATGACAAAATTGAGAATCGAAAGAGGGCAAGAAAGGGAGGGAAATTTTAAGAGGGTGAAGAGGTGACAGGGGTCCTTTCTAACAAATTTTAGATGAAGATAATTTGCTGGAATGTAAGAGGCCTAGGGAGTGCAAAAAAGAGGAGACTGGTTAGAAATGTACTGAGGAAAGAGAAAGCAAATGTAGTGTTGTTCCAAGAAACAAAACTTTCAAAGGCAGACAGAAAATGGATAAGGAATATTTGGGGTTGTAGGGTATTGAGTTGGACATTTGCCTCATCTTGGGAAGCCTCCAGAGGGATACTTACAATGTGGAAAAATGAAGAATTGGAAAGCCAAGAGAAACTCATTGGGCAATATTTACTCTCGGTAAAGTTCAAAACGGGAAGTGATAGCAGGACATGGGTCTTAACAAATGTATATGGCCCTAATTCTTATAGAGAAAAAGACCTTTTTTGGGAGGAATTAGCTGTAATTAGGGGTCCGTGGGTTGGCTTGGTGTGTGGGAGGTGATTTCAATGTCATTAGATACACTAGTGAAACAAACAACCCTAGTCAAGGTATAACCACAAGCATGAGGAAATCCAATACTTTGGTGGAATCTTTGGAACTAAAAGAACCACCCCTGTTGCAAGCTACCTTTACTTGGTCTAATTTCCAGGAGAATCCAGTGTGCTCTAAGTTGGACAGGTTCCTTTTTTTCAATAGATTAGGAGGACCTTTGGGGTAGCCTAGTCCTGAAAACACTTCCTAGAGTGACCTCAGACCATTGTCCTCTTTGTCTTTTTGAGAAGTACTAGAGGGGCCCTACTCCCTTTAGGTTTGAAAATATGTGGCTAGAAGATTCAAAATTTATTGATAAAGTTAAAGAATGGTAGTCAAAAAGTGGGATCAATTTGGGGAACAAGGAATTCAACTTCACTAGGAAATTAAAGTTTCTCAAAGGAAGAATAAAAGAGTGGAACAAGCAAGAATTTGGAAGATTAGAGGATTTAAAAGAAAGATTTACAAAAAGGATTGAAGAGATCAATCTTAAGGAGTCTCAAAGAGAATGTATGGCAAAGAAAAGATCATAAAGGTACTAAAGGTGGAATTAGAGGACTTCATTAGAAAAGAAGAAATTTTTTGGAGACAAAAATCAAGATGTAAGTGGCTCTTAGAAGAGGATGGCAACACAAAATTTTTCCAGTCTCTGGCAAATGGAAGAAGAAGAAAGAACTTAACCTCAAGTATTGAGGTTGCAAGACAGGCTTATAGCAGGGAGGAGGAAATTGTTAAGATTTTTGTGGACCACTTTGAAGCAATCTTTTCCACCTTAGGAAGGAAAAATGGAGAAAGCTTGGATCTGGATTGGGACAGGATACCTGAAACTCACTCAACTCTTTTAGAAAGGAATTTTAATCTGGAAGAGATCCATGAAGCAATACTTTCAATGGAAAGATCAAAAGCTCCAGGCCCGGATGGATTCTCATTGGCTTTTTTACCAAGAATGTTGGGAAGTCATAAAAGATGATTTGTTGGAGATCTTTAAGGAATTTTTTGGAAAAGGAGAAATCTCACTAGGAGCAAATGCAATGTTCATTGCTTTGATTCCTAAAATAAAATAAGCAAAAATCCCAAAGGACTTTAGGCCCATCAGTTTCATAGGAAGCTTATATAAAATCATTGCCAAAGTCCTAACTGGAAGGTTGAAATCTTGCCAAAAGCCTACCTTTAGTGATTTCCCAATATCTAGGAGCCTTTGTGGATGGGAGGCAAATAGTGGATCAAATTCTGGTGGCATATGAGTGTGTGGAAGAAAAGAGGATGAAAGCAAGAAAGGGTTTGATTTGTAAATTAGACCTAGAAAAAGCTTATGACACGGTGGACTGGAGTTCCCTTCTTGGATTGTTAGAGAAGATAGATTTGGGGGAAAGATGGAGGAATTGGATTAGAGGTTGTATTAGCTCAGTACATTTACCCATTTTAATAAATGGAGTTGCTAGAGATTTCTTTTCTTCACAGCTAAAAGAGGTTTGAGATAGGAAGACTCCTTATCCCCTTTCTTGTTCACCCTAATTGCTTAAGTCCTAAGCAGAATGATCATCAAGGCTGATTTGGATAACCTGATCAGGGGATGGAGGGTAGGAAGAAATGAGGTGGTGATGTCCCATTTACATTTGCAGATGACATAATAATTTTTTGTGAAGACTGTAATGAGGAGAAAATAAGGAAACTAGGGGATTTAGTCAATGATTTTTAAAGGATCTCAAGTCTAAAGGTTAATCAGGATAAGAGTTGTGTGGCAGGAATCAATTTGGAAGAGGGTAGCATTCAGCTATGGGCACAAATCCTAGGTTGTGAGGTGAAAGAGTGGCACCTAAATTACCTTGGCCTACTGTTGGGAGGAAACCCAAGAGCATAGAGTTTCTGGAAACCAGTCCTAGAAAGATTTTGTATAATCCAATAAAACATAACCCAAGCTCCATATTTTGTAAGAAATAGTAAAAGTTATCATACCATAGCCTGAAGTTTGAACATCGAAGCCTTCATCCTAGAAGATAAAAACAAAGTTAGAAATAACTTAGTTGACAAGAATTCCAGAAGGCTTTCTACTAAGAGATGGAAATAAACCTGCAATTGTCGAATCAATGGTAAGCTGCCAGTGATTGAATAGGGTTTTACATATCCAACCACATCTTCAGTTGCTTTACATAACACGTGAAAGCCACGAGAATCAAGATTACAGGCAACTCCAGACATCATTGCCTCATCAAAACTAATTGTAAGTCTGGAGAAAAGTGAATATATAATCTTGTGAGTGAAAGAAAAATAGATGGAAATACAGTAACAAGCCTATAGCACTCTCTTCTAACCTGACAAATGAAGTCCAAGAAAAATTTAACGTCCAATAGCCAGGGCTATTGGAGCAGTTTAAAACTGTAAAATAGTCTTTCAATCTGAACATGAATGAGAAGAAAATAAACATACCTTCCCCTGAGATTCTCTTCTGGAAGTACATATTTTGATACTGGCCCTCGAGTATCTAGTTTCTCTATGTTGGCATTGATATCATCTACATATTCCTGTACTTTCTTCATAACATCTGTTATGCTGGAATAGATAGAAAAGGAATCAGAAGGTTTTCATCTTTTTAATTATTAATCTATAGATATGATCCAGGCAATATGGTTCATTGTAGATTTACAGTTTTTTGCTCTAAACCATTGTACTCATTCCCCTTTTATTATTGTTAGTGGTGTTAGTGAAGGGGTATTTCGGTCTTTGTACTTGTTGAGAATGTTGATGTGTACTGTTATGTTAGTTCGAGTGCCTCTTACTTAAATAAGGGCACTTAAGTCTTTTCCAATAAGTTAATAATATAATARCAGGTCTGGCCGAATCAAGGGATAACTTTTTCTCTAATTCGAACCAGACCTTCTCTCTTTTCTTCCTTCTTCTTTCTTCTTTCCTCTCCTACTTCTTGCTGTTTACTTTACTTTACAGTCAACGAACAAGACAGAATTCTAGGGCAGGTCGAACTTCAACAATTATTTAATCATGTTTTTCATTGTTAATCTGAGGTTCTTGGCATATTGTCATTTGACTTTCTTTACAACATATAATCCCTATCTAAAATCCATTCCTGTGTCAAAGTGTGCCTTTTTGTTCAATGTACTTTAAGGCCGTGTTTGGTTTGAAGGAAAAAGTAGAGAAAGGAAGGGAAACCTACACAAGGATTGTAAAGGTTCCCCTACCTATTCCTTCAAACCAAACATAGCCTAAGAGAAAAGGGTGAGGATTAAAACCAAATCAAAAGTTTCAGGAAGTAAATTACTCAATTATTTCTTTTGTTTATTTTTCTCAACCACTATTTTTTTACTTTCATTTTATTATTTAATCATCTGGTGTATACACATCTTTGTAAAAGGGAGGTGCAGGGGGGGGCGTAAGCTACTTACTTGTAGAAAGGAGTTAACCTGCAACAAAAAAAAAAAAGAAGTCATATAGTCAGGCTTCAGATTTCTTCAGTGGAATTGGAAATGCAATTTACAGTTTTTGTGCATGTATCTTCATTTTGTTGTTGAAAGGACAGACCTGACATCTCCACAAATTGTACACTCATATGGAATCTGATTGACACCCCCTCCAGGATCTGTAACATTTCAAAAAATATTGGAAAAATAGAGTACATGAGGTTCTCCACACCAGCCGATACCAAGAAAACTGATTCCTTTTTCTTTTTTTCTGACACCTAAAGATAATAGTTTCCAAATGCTAACATGAACATGTTATTGTATAATAGGCTCATAACTTACAGCTCCATTGAGTTGGTTTCATGGTTGATGGTGTTGCAAATCCATAGAGCTGTTCCTTGGGATGCTGAGGGAAGTCCCTGTAGAACCGTAGTTGAATCTCTTTAAGTGCTTCCATAGCTAGCTCCAAAGGATTTATAGCCTACACACCATAGGCCTTCTTAGTTCTTAACATGGATTTCAGAAAACTAAATTCTTTTTTTCTTTTACCCTTTATGACTTTTAACTAAAAATGTCCTTATAGATCACTCAAACACATGATTTAGATGGGGGAGGCACAGAGTTTCTTCTGTGTGAATGGAAATATTGAAGGTTCCCAAGTGAACAAACTATAAGATCCCATAATTTAGTTTACTTTACCTAGAGAATGTGTCAAGGTACCATTTTGGTTGAGTTTCAATTAATAGTTTCCACTACTTTTCTGCTATGTGGAGAGATCAAGCAGCCATGAATCAGAGAAGCTAGGCACTCAAGGGCAGAAGCAAACTAGATAAACTTAGGATACTTTTGTGCCTCACCTTGTGCCTTGCACCTTGGGTGAAAATTGCCCCTTGTGTTTTTTTTTTTTTTTTTTTTTTTTGCCTTGCACTTTTAAAACACTGCCATAAAAATAAAAGACTCAACATTTTTTTTCATTTTTGGTATTTTATTCTTAATTATGTCTAAAATATAAAT